AAATAAACACAGCTCAAAGTGTGTGTGGGGGAGCCAACAGCCTCCCTTTGTCTTCCAGAAGAGCAGGACCTCTAGGGACAGCACGGGGACACTTACCCCGGATCAAAAACCCCTGGAGTGCGGCAGGTTGGCCCTGAGCAGGACTGGAGCATCATCAAGCGATAGTTCATCTTCCCCAAAAGCTCAGGGTCTATAGTTTTAGCAATGTTGGTGATTTGGTCTGGGTCTGCAGTTATATTATAGACTTCTACGAACACCTAGGGGAAGAAAGGAAGGAGCAAAGGGAAAAAAACCAAAGGTTATATTGAGAATATTCCTAAGGCAATTATTTCTAAATGGAAAGGGAAGTACAGAAAAACCAAGGCCCATCCATCAGGGGGCTAAGGCTTCACGATCCACACATTCGCATACTGTTGGGGTTCACCTGCACTGGACACACAGCCCATGATGAACTGCGGTCACCTGTCCACTACACACTCTAGAAGTGAACACGAAGTGAGCCCTCGATGGCCTGGCCTCAGTACCAAGACAGTATTGCAGGAACTCGGTGAGGGGAGTGCGGAAAGCCATGTCTGCCTCAGAACCTGGGGGTTCAAGTGAGGATGGAGGTGAGAACTGCGCTGACTTCTGGCCCCTGAATCATTTCCTATTTTAAAAAGTAGTCGGGGCTATTTCTTGCCAGCAGGGAAGGCGACAGCTGTCTTGTCTACGGCAGCCTTATCTCTAATGTAGACTGTCTGGCATCGGTGCCTCCCTCTCATCCGCATATGGTTCTCCAGGACATGCGAGGTGAGCGCTGCCCTCAGTCTACCGTGCAATGGTACCAAACAGATAAACACAGGGAAGGCCAGCTCAGCTCAAGCAAAGACTGTGCTGCTGAGCTGCCAGGAAGGGGCAGTCCCCTTCTGAAGAAGGCAGTGAGCATTTACTTCCTACGGTAAGAGGGGGCCAGACTGGGTATGCAAGCACCTGCTGAGCTCAGTGTGACTGCAAGGCCCCGTGTCCTCGGGACCCTTCAGGTGATCCACAGTTATCAGTGTGGCCAAGTCCCGTCTTCTCCCAAGGATGGCCCACCACTCTAATAACAGACAGCATTGGCTTGTGCTGTGTGAGCCAAGGGAGCTTCCGGGTATGTAAGATGCTGGCCAGCCTGTTGGGAATGTCCCAGTTCCTCTCTGTAGACGCTGAAGTGCTCACTTTTCGCCCACAGACCAGGCGTGTGTCATTCTGAGAAAGTCAGCTGTGCACTTAAAGAGTAGGGTGGTGAGGAGAGAAGGCTCCATTGAGAAGAGTCAGAGAATGAAGCCTGTCTGTATAGGACTGCCTTGAGACTGCAGAGAAGAAACTTACCTTCCCTGGGTAGTGCTGGGACCGCTCAATGCCACCAGGCCCAAGTCCCCCTTACCTCCTGGTCGTCAAACTCGCAATACTGCAGGTTCCACAGTGACGACAGCGTCCTCACACAAGCATAGGTGTTGTTGTAGGCGTCTTCACACACACAGTCTGGGAAACATTGCTGGGGGAAGTTTACAAGTTAAATGAGGATCACTCTGACAGTAACAGAATCTCATGTCGGCCCAGCCGGCTGAAGCTAGTCATGAGGGAAGGGAAACCACATATCAAATGAATCTCTCTGAAGGACGATCTGGAATGATCATCCTGGGGTGAGAAGAAAAATGCAGAGTGCCCCGAGATCTCAGTGCTACAAAGGACCAAACCCCATGTTCTCCACAGGCTCTCCAGTCCACAGTGGGCTGTGTCTAAAATGTGGGCAACCCCCCCCCCCCAACCAGGACCTTTGCTGGCCTGAAGTAGAAATCCATTGGTCTCTGCCTTCCAAGACCTAGGATGACAATACTGTGTGCCTGCACTGGGCTGGGTCCTTTACTCAGAACACTGAGTGACAGGAGACCCAAGGCTCAGTTCCCCAAAGCCAGTCAATGTGGCTGTTACATCTGTGTGACCTGCGGGGTTGCCACCAGTGTAAGGCATGTGATGGCACACGGGGCAAACCCCATCTCTCCATCAGTCCTGACAGTGTGCCCTGGGGAGTGGGTAAGGTGAGGGGGGTGGGGCCTGATGCCAGGACCAGCCAAACAGCATCAGTCGGGTGGCGAGAAAGCCGCGATCCAAGACAAGCTCTACTTACAGACACTCCAGGACTCAAGGAAGGGCAGGTCGGGTCAGTGATGTTACGGCCTTCTCCTTGGTATTCCACCAGGACATCTGACCTCCAGGTTAAGTTGCTGGCTCCTTTCTAGGAAAAAGAGCAGAGGTGGTTTCTGCGAGGCATGGCTCTCACTGTCTGCCTGCGGGGCCTTTGGACAGGAGTGAAGAGCATGGACGTGATGGTTTCTGGGATTTACAGTCTATAAAGGGGCTTAGAATGTTTTATAGCCCTCTACAGGGGAGTAGTGAGGCAGGCTGAATGGAAGCCGGTAGCTAACAAGAGCTGACAGTGGTCCAGGCTGCTCCAAACCAGGGTCCGTGTGAATAGTGCCTAGCGGAGAGGAATAGTGCCTACGAGTGCAGGCCTGAGAGGGATGGGCAGTGTGCGGTGCAGATCCTGAGTACCACCCACATGTCATGTGCATTCCGTGTTGCATATTAGCAGTGTGGAGAGAGGCTGCAGCATTTGAAACACACACATTTGAGGCAGACATATGAATACTGGAGAAGGCAGGCTCTAGAACAGGAGAAAGTGTGAGATCAAAAGCAGATGACTTCAGGAATTCAGGATAGCAGAGAACATGGATCTAGGGGGGTCATGAACCCTAGCTTCCAAGAGGAGGAAGCAGGAACAGGTTGGGGTGGACAGCCAGGGGCTAAATGCCAGGAGGCCCCAAGCAGCAGGCAAGCTGGGCCCAGGGGACAAGCCTGCAACACCAGTTACTTGGGAGGCTGAGGCATGAGGAATGACGAGCCCAGTTTGATCACTGGGCAACATACTGAGACCCCTCTCTGCAGAGTAAGAGGCAGGAGATGGTTAGGAAGGGCAGAGTAAGGCCGCATGAGTCTGATTGGACCTGCCTTCGGCCTTTTCCTGTTCATCTCTAGATCCTGTCCTTGGCTGGTGTGGTTCTAACATCAGCAACAATAAATATAAGCCTTTTAAATCAGGGGAGAACAGTTTAGGTTTTAGCAAGTCCACGGTCATCCCTGGTGTCAGTTGAGAACCATAGCTCTAAAGACCACTAAAGCTGGAAGCCCTAGAGGGGTGGGTGCTAGCCTGTGCTGAAGCTGGAAGCCCTAGAGGGGTGGGTGCTAGCCTGTGCTGAAGGTGGAAGCCCTAGAGGGGAGGGTGCTAGCCTGTGCTGAAGCTGGAAGCCCTAGAGGGGTGGGTGCTAGCCTGTGCATGGCCTTGAATGCCAGGAAAGGGATTCAAATGAGTATTGCTTAACTCGTGGCTACATTCAAACCTGAGCAAAACTCTGCAGGTCCAGGTTTCAAATTATGAGTCAGTGGAGACTGCAGAAGTGCCCCTTCTTCCTTGTTCAAGCTGCCAGAGCTGGGGAGAGCTTATCTGTCACACGTGGGTAGACCTGAGTCCCACACTTATGTGTCAAGTGTCCAGAGGACCAGGTTATGGCCCATGCCAATTAAATCAGCAGCTCTCATGGAGGGGTGGCCCAACACTAGGATCTCATTTCCCTAGGTGACTCTAACAGGGACCAGGGTGAGACTCAGTGTCCAAATAATATCCCACGAGACATCTCCCAGGGCACCCGAGGCAGCTAGTATTCAGTTGGGAGTCATGCTCTATGCTCCTCAGACCAGGAACAAAGAGAAAAGACGCCTACTTGTGCCCCCTTTGTGCAGACCTGCAGAAAAGAGCAGAAGAAACTCCCCAGACGTCCCTGTCAGTTTGCAGAAATCTGTAAGAAGCATCAAGAGGTGGAAGACAACATCTGGGAAAGAAGTTAAACGACAGAGCTAGAGCCCCACAGATACCAACGGAGGAGAGACAGACAGACGGGTCATGATGTAGTTAGGTAATGGAGGATCAGGTAGCTGAGAACAATATGGATCCATCTTGCAAACAACGCTGAATTCTCAAAAAGCCCAGACAGATCCACTGCAGAATCGTGTGTGTGTGTGCTGGAGAACGAGCCCAAGGCCTTTATATGCTGTGCAAGTGCTCCACCATGAGCCGCACCCGCAATCCTGCCAATCTACAATCTTTCCACCCACTCTCGGGGCAGTAAACTAGCCGGACAGTGATTTCCCCGACCCTCGTAAATAGTGTGCAAACGCCCTCCATGCCTCAGACTTCTGAGACACTGGGCTTTAATCTTTAGTCTTTGCCACTCTGAGGTGACACAGACCTTCTTACTTCAGCCTGTTTGATGACAGTGAGGTGACCACAGTGACCTGAGCCATTCCTCCATTTCATAGGTGGCTGGTTACTCAGAGCTCTCTGGTTTATTTCTATTGGGATGTCAACCTCTCTTTCTAAGCCCTCACATGCCATCAACTGTCCTCCTGGACGGAACCTGGATGACCCTTCAGTCACCTTGGTTTGTTCATGGAGGGGAGGGGAGAGAATACAGAAAGCTGAGATGACAAGTGGTCTGTCCCATCAGTCAGCCAAGTTTGTTTTTTTGTTTTTTTGTTTTTTTTTGGGACAGGGTTTCTCTGTGTAGCCCTGGATATCTTAGAACTCATTCTGTAGACCAGGCTGGCCTCAAACTTATAGTGATCCATCAGCCTCTGCTTCCCAAGGGTTGGGATTGAAGGTGTGCACCACCACCGCCCAATGTCATCTTTCCTTTAGGAAGCGCCTTCCCACCACATGGCGAGAGACAAATCCTGTCCTTTGACTACCAGGTTTAGGAATTTTACTTTGTCTACCTGGGTTTCCTCAGAGCTTGGGCTCTGTTGATTGTACTCACCAGAATGGGTACTAAGGACACTCCATCCATCTGCGTCTTATTCAGGTCATAGCCAGCAAGGTCTAGGATCGTGGGGCCCAAGTCAATATTCGAGACCAGCATCTGATGAGCAAAGAAAACAGGATGGGACACAGCTGGTCTCATCTTCCCTTTCCCTCTAATAAACCCGAGCCACCCACCAGAAACCCACGGCACCATCGCTTTCCCATAACCCAGTTCCAGACACTCAACTGCAACTTAAACACGAGCTTATCAGGTGCACATGCGAATGCACGTGGGAAGCTGTGATGATGGTCTTACCACATGGTTACTAGCAGACCATCTGAAAGACTCCTGCAGTCTCCTCACCACGGCTCATGGGAGCACTGTTGACTACTGCGGCAACCTGACATTCACATTCGTTCACTAGACTTGACCTCACATGCATTCCTAGCATTTTAAAAAGATTTATGTATTTTATGTACGTGGTTTTGCCTGTACAGATGTAAATGCACCACAAGCATGCAGTGCCCAGTCAGAAGAGGGCCAGGTGTTGTTCTTCTAAGACAGTTTTTTACTGGCCTGGGTTTACAGCAAGCCTTAGAGAGCCTTTGGGTCCCCACCTCCCGCCTCCTCTGTGCTGAGATCACAGGCTTTTCTATGTGGATTCTGAGGAACAAACTCAGGTCCTCGTATCTATGTGCGGCTTAGCCTACAGAGTGAGCTCCAGGGCAGAGAGACCTTGTCTCAAAAAAAGCCCCTGAGAAGCCAGGCCCAGTGGTGCACATCTTTAATCCCAGCACATGTAAGGCTGAGACAGGCGGATCTCTGGGAGACAGAGACCTGGTTGGTCTACAGAGTGGGTTCTAGGACAGCCAGAAATACATTGCGAGACCCCGTCTTAAAGCAAGAGGGCGACCAGCTCCCAGGACCTCGCTTGGGGCTGTCCTCTGGCCATGTACACAGTCTCGAGGGCGCACACCCACAACAGTCTCTGAAACTAGGAAGGAAACTTAATTTTAGGCAGTCAAACATGAGATTAGAAAAATCAATTAACTGTCATTTTTAATTTAAAACCAAACCAGAAGGGCCTGTATGAAAAGCGGGGCTCAGATTTCCTGGTAGCTGGGAGAGCCAGGGATGCACAAGCTGGTGCTGAATACATTAGCGCGCCCGGCAGATGTCGTGGGTTACCACGCCACGGAGACACCTCAGGGAGCAGCAATCCATATGTCACTGAGAAAGCTCACCAGAGCTGTCCCCAGAGATTCCTGCCAGACCCCTGGGTGAACCGAGCAGCTGGCTCACAGTTGGTAAGTCTGCCTATAACAATGGAAGAGATCACCATAGGAGGGAACACAAGCCCCTGAGCCGGCCCATAGGCCATGGGGCAGTCAACGCAGGGTGTAAGAGAAACTGTAAATACCAAACAATAAAAATCCAAAAAAAAAAAGGTGACTGCTAGTCTCACGCACACACACAAAAACAACTCACTTTTAATTCCAGAGCCGCATGATGGGAGATACTTCCTAATGGACTTCTCCTCAGTGGCAAGGCCTGTCAGTTCCAGTACAAATCACTACAATTGGGCTTAAGTACCACAAACATACATGTGTTCCCATATACACACAGTCACTGTGTCCTCTCTAAATAGGACATGATTTTTTTCCTATGAAGTAGATGGTTTCAAAATGTACACGTACTGTATGAGATCCAGAGACCTTTCGTGAATACAGATTATGAGCAGAAAATTAACTGAATCTACCATTGGTCTCACAAGTGTATACAATCCTGCAAAATTACTGAAAACAAGGGGATGTGCTCTCAGAACACAGTCAGGTTTCCAGACACTTAGCTCTGAGATTAAACAACCATGTAGGGCTACCTAAGGCAAGTCACACAGCACCCCAGAAGGCACCAAGGGTTCATTTGGCAAAAGAGCTTGGAGTCTATGAGAGTCTAGCGCCACCAAAGCTAAGTGGCAGCATTGGATCTGCCTTTAGTTTCTCTAGGTAGGAAGAAGCCCAGGGTGTCAGCCAGTAGAGATGAAGGTAGCTGGAGAGATGGCTCAACGGCTAAGAGCACTTGCTGCTCTCTCAGCGAGCTTGAGTTCAGTTCCCAGTACCCAGTTGTGAGCTGGACGGCTCACAACTGCCTCTAGCTCTAGTTCTAGGGTACTGGTTCTCAACTGTCCTCACGCTAGGACCATTGAGTACCATCCTCATGTTGTGGGGACCCCAACCATAAAACTATTTTGTTGCTACTTCATAATTATAATTTTGTTGTTGTTATGAATTATAATATAAATATCTGATATGCAGGATATCTGTTATGCAACCCCAAAGGGGTCACAAGTTGAGAATTGCTGTTCCAACACTGTCCTGGCCTTTGTGGGTACTGCACGCATGCACACACAGAGAGAGAGAGAGAGAGAGAGAGAGAGAGAGAGAGAGAGGGGAAACCTAACACCCTCCCTATCTGAGGACCAGGGAGAGCAGGACTTTCTTTGTCAGGGTCTTAGAGCTAACAGGTAGCCTCCTGACTTCTAATCAGATCTACCTCCTCTGGGCCAGAGCAGTTTTGAAATCGTTCCTTTTCTAAAGCTTCTTTGAGGAACTGCTACTGCAGAATCTAGACCTAGACTGATGTCTCGCCGGGAGGAGAAAAATTGGTCAACTTTGGCTATGACAGACACACTCTATTCCTGCTTCTGAGTAGTGACAGGTAGCTCAGGCCATAGATCAAACAGAGCCACTGGCTGTTTGGTGATCGCCAACACATAGTAATGCTCTCTGACGTTCTTTTTATTTGAAGACTTTTAAAATCTCATGTGTATGAGTGCCATGCAGACATGCCTGCACATATATGTGGGTACCATGTGTGTGCCTGGTGCCAAGGACCCCAGAAAATGGTGCCATCAGATTCCTGACACTGAGCATAAGCCTTCATGTGGGTTCTGGGGGCAGAATTGAGCTGTCTGCCAGGGCAGCCCCTGCTCTGAACTGCTGAGCTCCTCTCTAGACCCCCCACCCCGCTCCCCGGCAGTTCACACTTCTACTGCACACCTGTCAGCCCAGTGAGTGTGACAAAATCCCATGGTGACAACAGACACAGCTCTTCTCAGTCCTGACTCTACTTACTACAAATCCATCTTAACAGTGTGTGTGGACCCCACTGTATGTGAGCGTGAGGTATGACCAGTGTGGGTGAACTCAGTGTATGTGAGCGTGAGGTATGACCACTGTGGGTGAGCCCAGTGTATGTGAGCGTGAGTTATTACCAGTGTGGGTGAGCCCAGTGTACGTGGAATGTGAGGTATGACCAGTGTGGGTGAGCCCAGTGTATGTGAGCGTGAGGTATGACCACTGTGGGTGAGCCCAGTGTATGTGAGCATGAGGTATGACCACTGTGGGTGAGCCCAGTGTATGTGAGCATGAGGTATGACCACTGTGGGTGAGCCCAGTGTATGTGAGCGTGAGTTATTACCAGTGTGGGTGAGCCCAGTGTATGTGGAATGTGAGGTATGACCAGTGTGGGTGAGCCCAGTGTATGTGAGCATGAGGTATGACCACTGTGGGTGAGCCCAGTGTATGTGAGCATGAGGTATGACCACTGTGGGTGAGCCCAGTGTATGTGAGCGTGAGTTATTACCAGTGTGGGTGAGCCCAGTGTACGTGGAATGTGAGGTATGACCAGTGTGGGTGAGCCCAGTGTATGTGAGCATGGAGGTATGACCAGTGTGGGTGAGCCCAGTGTATGTGAGCATGGAGGTATGACCACTGTAGGTGAGCCCAGTGTATGTGGAATGTGAGGTATTATATACTCAGTAGGGGACCACGGAGGAACCAGCAGTAAACAGGATGTGAAGCCAACTGAGAGTGGATGAAGGTATAGAGAGGTATGGATGCCAGGCAGGGGAAAGTGATAAGACTCTTCCTAGGGGAACCCCACTTCCAGAGCCTTTAAAGACAAGCGGGCTGGGGAGCTGAGGTGGACATTTCAGTCAGGAGCAGCAGCCAGTTGTGCCAAAGCTGAGGAGAGGTACGGTTTCCTTGGGAGGGGAAAATGGTCCGTACAAATGCTGCCACCTCCCTTGCCTGCTCTAACATCCTTGCTTTCTCACTGTTCTGCTCGGAGTGCTGGATCCACGGACCATGTAACTCCACTCTCCTCAACATCCAGGTCTCTGCTTCAATGCCCAGAGGCCTCTCCTGGCTAAAGTTTCCTGTCTTCTCAGATGTAAGGATTTAAGAATGTATCTTCCCTGGCTGCTTCTTGCTATGCCCAGGACTTCAGGCAGGCAACGCCGTCATAAAAATGTACTGAGTAAATACCATTGCCAGTGCACGGACTCTGAGTCACACTGTGAATTGCAAGGCAGGGCTCTGCTACTTATTAACTCATGTGAGCTCAGATAATTCCCTTGACCCTTCAGTTCCTTCCTTAATGGGATGGGGTAAGAGGGCATGATCTCACGGGTCCATTCACACAGCACTCAGAACTCCACATGTTGATATGATATAGCTCTGATGATGAACCAGACACCATTTAAATGCTTAGAAGAGGCGCGGTTTGGGATTTGAATATTTGCTTGGCAGAGTAAGCTGATGAAAAGAAGGAACAGTTTGTTCCTCCCGCAGCTGATGGGCACATTTCACTCTGCTCCCTTCAGTTTCTTTCCCACAGAATACAAGAAGTGCACATCCTGCTGAGACAGAACTGGCACTCAGGTCAAATGCCATCCTTAAGATCTGCTGACCTTCCCAGCTTGCCTCCTTTGAGAGGAGTGGCCTGACCAGAAAGCGCCAACACTTGTAGTGGAACAGAGGTCTTGATAAGAGCAAATGTAACACAAATGATGGTTGTGAAGGCCACTCTACCTTTCTGGGAGCGATTTAACAGTGCTGCACCATGACGTGGCAACAGGAAGTAGGTGAAAGGTGGGAGGAAAGCGAGGTGAGCACCAGCACCAGCACCACTGCATACAGCCCACAAGTCCGGGCCTCTGGAAACCCATGTTACAATTTTAGCTTTATGTGTCTGTTCATTTTCTCTGGTCCCAGAGCTTAGGTGACAACGTGAAATCAAGAAGAGAGAAGACATAGCTGGGAGAACCTACTGTCATCTCCTGACCACTAGAGAGACGTGTTCAGGATCAAGGTGGCCACCACTCTAGGAACAGAGTCCCAGTGAAGGACACTGACCAATGGAAGCCACGGAATGTGCTGCCCATTGCAGGCCAGAGGGGACAGAGCAAACAAGCTTAGCAAGGAAAAGAAAGTACGTGTAGACTCCTGAAACTGGGAAGGAGGATTCTGGGAGTTCAGGAAGTGACACGATTCCCAAGCCCCTCCCCTTAAGGTTTATATTAACAAGCAGCAACAATTGGTAGAATGGAGCAGACTCCTTGGTGGAGCTTCCAGCCGGAGAGGGCCCCAGCGAGGTGCCTCTTATCACTCACCGCCCATTCTGGGATAGGCTTTCCAGTGATTAAGCCCCGCGCCATCTCTAAGGAACCCCAGCAAATCACTGACTCATGAGCTTCACCAGGTGGAGCCGCGGCTTTGGTTTCCCATTGGTGCCCTATCTGGGGCGGATGGGCATTTGTTCACAGCCCCTCACTACACTCAGTGAGGTCAGCCCAGCAACAGATGCCCGGGGAGTCCCACGTGCAAAGCTTGGGGTGTCCTGCTGTACCATGAGGGCCCACACCAGGTCTCAATCCACACTGAAAGGGCAATGAAAAGCAGGTGCTGGGTGTCTGTTCTATACCGCAGGCCAATCACAATCCTTCCTTCATGACCTCAGAGGGTGGACTGCGCTGGTGGTCAGCACTTAAGTGCTTGCCAAGAAAGCATGAGGGCCAGAGTTCACATCTCCAGAGTCAAGGTGGGTGTGCAGCCTGACCTCCACTCCAGCTTTGGAAGGTGGAGATGGAGCAGAGCATGCTGGGTAGCAAAACTAGCTTTACCAGTGGGGTCTGAGTTTGACTGACAGCCTACCTCAATGAATATGGTGGGAGAGCAATCAAGAATACAATGGAAGACTGATCAAGGATGATTACTGATATCAACCTTGGGCCTCTACATGTATGCATATACATGTGCATGCATACATATATGCATGTACTGCCCATGTGTACACACATACAGAAAAACATACATTCACACATGCTGTGGGTCAATGGTCTTCTATTGTTTTAATAAAATGCTGATTGGCCAGTAGCCAGGCAGGAAGTATAGGGACAACCAGACAGGAAGTAGAGGCGGGTCAATGAGAACAGGAGAATTCTGGGAAGGAGGAAGCCCATTCCTCTGTAGTCCTGACCTGAACACAGAGGAAGCAAGATGTGACTGCCCCGCTGAATAAAGTACTGAGCCACATGGCTAACACAGATAAGAATAATGGGCTATGTAAGAGTTAATAAGAAGCCTGAGCTAATGGGCCAATCAGTTTATATCTAATTAGACCTCCACGTGATTTCTTTGGGACTTAATAATTGTGGGAACTGGGCAGGACAGAAACCAGGACAACAGGGGGAGACAAGAACAGGAGAATTCTGGTAAGAGGAAAAAGTCAGACTATAGTTGTCACCCAGATGCAGAGGAAGCAAGATGAGACTGCCTCACTGATAAAGGTACCAAGCCACGTGGCTAATACAGACTAGAATTATGGGCTAATATAAATTATAAGAGTTAATAATCAGCCTAAGCTAATAGGCCAACCAGTTTATGATTAATGTAGACCTCTGTGTATTTCTTTGAGATTGAATGGCTGCGGGACCACGCAGGACAGAAACCTCTGTCAACACACACATGAAAGCTGGAAAGAAATAAACCACACAATTTCCGATGGTGACTCTCATGAGAATCTCTAGGGCCGGAAGTAAATCCTGAAATGAACCAAAGCTGTGCACGCTGACATGACATACACACATGGCGGTGGACAGCTGGGGGAGAGAAGAGCCCCACTTTCCAAGGTTCCCAAGGGCAGAAGAGCATTCCCAGGAGTGACTGCCGACTTTTCAAGGCGAGTATGACCTCCACACAGGGTTGGCTGTAGTCAGGCACCTACCTTGCTTGTCTGGTTTGGTTTGATTCCAGGCCCTCGAACCAGCAGTGGAACTTTGATATCAAACTCATACAGCTGTCTTTTGTCTATTGGCAAAGAGAACTGCCCTGAAACAAAACGCACAAGGTCAATGCAGAGCCAGGACGCTGGCAGCACACACACCTTCTGAGCCACTGAGAAACTGAAAAGATGCTGTTTTAAGATCTTTGTGTTGCATGAGCATTTGTGTGTGATTATGTGTGTATCTGTGTAAAAGTATGCCACATGTGTGCATGCCCTTGAAGGCTGAAGGAGATGCTGGATCTCCAGGAGCTGGAGTTACAGGTCACCTGACATGGGTACTGGGGACTGAGCTCAGGTCCTCAGGAAGCACTCCACTTAACCACTGAGCGGCCTCTCCAGCCCCTTAATTCTAGTTTTATAATACAAAGCTTATCTTGCCTGGGGTCCTTTTCAGCACAAGACAGGAAAAATAATTGAGTTTACCTTCTCCAGGTAAGTAACTAAAAATGACCTGTTCTAAACAGGGCAAACTGAGCAAAACAATGTTTGGGAAGGAACGAGAGGTAAACATGTGGAAACATGTATGCACATGTGAGCCGATTCAGGTGACCGGTGCCACCCCAAGTCTGCCACATAAAGAGAGAAACATGCCCCATCCCCCGGTACACCGCAGTCAAGGCCATGAAGGCAGAAAGGCCTCCTGAGGAAATCCGACAGACACATGGGGATAGAACAAAGAGGTTAACATATGGCAGTTTGGTTTGAGGTACAGTTTCAGCAACAACCTCCAAGGGAATCTCACTGACAGGTCCAGAGGAAGGGACCAGGTTACACCACCTGGCCCATCAATCCACACTGGTGTCCCAGAGAGGCACAACCAGACACCGTGGCCTCACAAACTGGAGGCAGGAAGTATAGCATGGACGGCATCTCTGGGGCTGCCTCCTGACCTGAAGACACTAACCGGTGTCAGGTCTCCAGATCTATCAGTACCGATCTACAGGAAACTGAGTGGAAATCAATAAGCAAGGCCTCCCTCACCAGACGGTAACTAGCCAAATCCAGGGTAAGAAGTGTTCCACAGGACAGAGGGGGCACTTTTCTCAGGAACTTTGAGAATTGGAAGAACTCAAAATTCAAGGTCGTAAGTAGAGTTATCTGCTTGATAAATTAGATGCTCATGGAACCATTTGTGGATTCCCAAGTGCCTTCAAAACCTTTAGAAAATAGCCGGGTGCCAAGGTACACGGTAATTAATCCCCACACTTGAGGCCACGGTGGGGGCGATCATGAGGTCAAGGTCAATTTGCGAGATAAAGTGAGACCCCAATCAAAAACCCAAGGGCTCAGTGATGCAAGGGCTGCAGTCTGACTGTCAGCACTGCAGTACCCTGCCCCCCTCACCCCTACACACAGAGAAAACCACGGGGAGGAGGTCAGAACGCACAGTACTGGCCACCTGTAGCTGACCAGGCCTCAAGCTCCTAGTCAAGCGCTCGTCCTGCCTTAGCTTGTTCAGTTAGAAATCCAACAGCCACGCCGTCACACCCAGCCACTCCAGCTCCTACTCTGCCCATTAAAGAACAGCCATGATAATGTAATGAATGCTGCATCAATATGCACAAGCGAAAGCACGCCTCACGCCAGCTCAAGAGGAAACACAAAGACTAGAAAAAAGAAAACACTTGTCTTTAGCTAGAGGAGGTGCAAGTCAGGGGCACCGAGTCCACTCAAACTGCCACTTTCAAAAACCAGGAGTGTCCCCAAACTGCAAGACTTAGTACTAAAGTTGCCCGCAGGACAGTTTTCTGTCTGTCTGTGACACACTCCCTGCTCACTTATCCTACAGAGGAGCGCATCTTCTCTGTGCCTCAGCCTGGCAAGTCTGCTGTGAAGCACTGGACTCCGGCCACACGGGTGACAATGGGGATGGGCTCTCACGGACGACAGTGCTGACCCTGCCGCTCACCTGTGTGGTAGCCGTTGTCTGAGGTATAGAAGATGTACGTGTTGTCCAGCTCGCCGGTGACATCCAATCTCTTCACCAGCTTCTCCACGAGATCGTCAACCGAGAGCAGAGTTTGCCACCTGGGAACCAATACAGGGTGGAATCAACTTCAGGGGCAATGGCTGCACAAAAACACCCATCCCACCATCCCACTAAAGCAAACACCAAGAGCTCAATCTGTCCCCCAGATTCTGTCATTGCAAAAGACAGATTAGAAAATTCCAGAACATTGCTAGGTGGTGGTAGCACACCTTTAGTCCCAGAACTTGGGAGGCAGAGGCAGGCGGACCTCTGTGAGTTCAAGTTTAACCTGGTTTACAGAGCTAGTTCCAGGACAGGCTCCAAAGCTACAGAGAAACCCTGTCTCAAAAAAAAAAAAAAAAAAAAAAAAAAAAAAAAAAAAAAAAAAAAAAAGAAAGAAAGAAAAAGAAAATTCCAGAACACAGTAATTACTTTATTTCAAATCTGTTTCCAAAATAACAAGATAACAGAAATAAATCAGGCTTTTAATAATGAGCTAACTTTATCTTTTACTGTTTGGGAATAGAGTTAATCAGATCACTACAGGTTGGTTCAAATAAGTCTGTGCTGCACTACTGTTTACTAGTCCAAACACTAGGCATTGGCCTACAGGCAAGAGGCCAAAGCTTGTCTACTGCCTGTTTTTATAAAGTTTTATTGACATATAGCAATATTTTCATATTGCCTAAGGCTGCCTTTATGCTGAGACACATGGCCTGCAAGCTTACAACATTTGCTATGATTATTATCTGATCCTACAAAAAATGTTTACTGACCTCTGGTCCAAAGCCAATCCACTCTAAGAGAAAAGTAGTAGATTTTTTAAAAATTGACCTAGCACATCTTTCAACTCCCAAACATCAAAGATAAACACTCTGCTCAATGTTTGCTCTGATTTCTATGTAGCTTTCCCTTTAAGCTTGGGGAAAAATGGTCAAGCAAATAGTTCAAGTTTGTCACTTCCTTACCTAGTCTTAAAAGTAGGCATTTTAATCAGTCTTGGGTCCAAAGAACACCTCATGTACTGGAAGGCATACGAACGTCTGCTGGTGGAGTGTCAGTGCCCCAAGTGCTTCTCCCACTGGCCTGCCTCCGTTTGCTCAGGAATAACACAGTGGCCACCTCTAGCCTCAAACCATGCACATTGGGAACGGTCTTAATAATAAAACAAAACCTCACCACCGCAGCGCTTACCTCCTTCTGAACGCGTCATCTAGGAACTGTATTGAAGAGTTTGTCATGGGAGTCTTGGCTTGCCGAATTAGCCAGTGCTTGTTCTAAAGTTCAGAAGAAACCAATGTAACATCAGGTCGTCACCATCACATACCAGGGAAGACAAAGGACCATCTACACTCTAGCAAACTATCGAGAACAGTGCTTCTAAATCCATCATATCATGCATATCAGGTATTACACTATGATCCGTAACAGCAGCAGAATTACAGTTATGAAGTGGCAACAAAAATAATGTTATGGCTGGAGGCCACACCATAAGGAACTGTATTAAGGGCCGTAGCACTAGGAAGATTGAGAATCACATGACAGACTGCCTCTCAGCTCTGCAGATGGACAGACGGACTACTCAGTACTCCACCAGCCTCTCACTGGTAAACACCCCGTGCTCTTTCGTTGGCAGCAGTGATTAGACACTCTGGTCCACAGAGAAGCCACCAGCTAAAGTGACATTCAGCTGGTAACTCTAATCCCATCAGCTACAGGCAAGTACTACCTTACCTCTAAGTTCTGCCTGTATGGCTCTGCATTCCACGGTCTGTCAGCTCAAGAGACTGACATCCCCGGAAAAACCCTGGGTTTAAAACCTCAAGTTTTGCACACCTGACACACTAGCAGAGCACGCACACATGACACACTAGCAGAGCATGCACACATGACACACTAGCAGAGCATGCAAGCGTGGTCCCCAGCAGTCTACACAGGGCAGCTCACAACTGCCGGTAACTCCAGTTCTAGGGGATCTGAGCCCTCTTCTGGCCTCCTTGGGTACTGTACCCACAACATAAACCCACAGCCAAGACACACATTTAAAAATACAAACAAAATCTTAAAAAATAACAAAAACCCCTTCAATTCTGGAGGGACCTTTTTTTTTTTCTTTTCTTTTTGAAACAGAGATAGAGACGGAGATAGGGTTTCTCTGTGTGGCTTTGGTGCCTGTCCTGGAACTAGCTCTTGTAGCCCAGGTTGGCCTTGAACTCACAGAGATCCGCCTGTCTCTATTAAAGGCATGCACTACCACTGACAGGCAAGAGGGACTTTTTTATTTACATAATAGCCATATTGTAAGTAACAAAAACATCCCCGTATGCCATCAATTATCGTGTATTCACAAGACTCTAAGTGACGACTTTCAAACTACACTCCTGAAACTGTTCCTAAGTTAACAGGTTTTAGAAATTCAATCTTAAGTTCTCTTGTCGGAGGTTCCCATGAGATCATGTGACTGGAAAGTCCTGTGACTTATGTAACTCAAGGTTTTCAATCTTACTGCTGCTCCCCGGGAACTTCTTTTTGGAACACAAAAATGAGACTAGTCCACTAGTTAAGTCAGCTTCCACTGTAACAAGCACACGCCTGTGGTGTGTCTGAGAGTATGTCAGATGCTTCTCTCCACTGTAACCATTACAGTAATCAAAGGCTCGAGGCCGCCCCCTTTAGGAGAACAGGAGCATAAACTCCTGCTCATTTCACAGACAGAAACTGATGCTCCTGGCTCTGATATCAAGACTCATTCTGGGGGCTGGAGAGATGGCTCAGAGGTTAAGAGCATTGCCTGCTCTTCCAAAGGTCCTGAGTTCAATTCCCAGCAACCACATGGTGGCTCACAACCATCTGTAATTAGGTCTGGTGCCCTCTTCTGGCCTGCAGGCATACACACAGACAGAATATTGTATACATAATAAATAAATAAATATTTAAAAAAAAAAAAGACTCATTCTGTACATTA